GCCCCGCCAGTCCACCCAGCACTGCCAGTCCACCCAGCACCGCCAGTCCACCCAGCACTGCCAGTCCACCCAGCACCGCCAGTCCACCCAGCACTGCCAGTCCACCCAGCACTTCCAGTCCACCCAGCACCGCCAGTCCACCCAGCACTGCCAGTCCACCCAGCATTGCCAATCCACTAGGGAGACCATTATCTGTTATCTATCATCAGCAATTTACCATCAAAATTCACTTTTGGCAGAGGTGATAGTGGAGTGGAGGGTCCCACGGGCAGGTCAGTTTGGAAGACAAAACCAGCCAAGTGTGAAGAGGTGAGGGCCTTCCCAGGCAGCACCATGCAGATGTCTGCAAGTCCCTGGGGTGAAATTCCCTGAGCCAAGTTCCAAAAGCCAGAGCCTCCCCATCAGGGAATTGACACCCTCAGAACAGGAGCAGAACCCCCAGTTGAGAACCCATGAGGCTCACAGCTGGGAGAAATCTAGGGGGTGCTAGTGGGCCCAGCTCTCAGTTTATGGCTGGGGTCTACCAGAGCTCCTCTCCAGTGGGCTGTGGAAATCCATACATGCCTTCACAATGCCAATCGTTGTCTGGCTCAGAGAGGTGCTGCCATTCAACAAAGTCACACAGCAAGTGGCTGAGAGAACCACCCTCACCTCCATGTGCAAGGATGAGGATTAGCCCGTATCTCATGTACTCGGGATGTGGAAAAGAGAACAGAGCACAAGAGCTCTGCGGGGTCAATAAGAGTACTGGCTTCCTCTTGGAGAGCATGCTCACGACACAGAAAACTTGTCTTGAATGACTCCACCATGGAAAAGCTCCAGGATAAATGGAGGAAAAGTAGTTAATGCAAAATCTACCCTTGAAAGAGACCAACTCAGCAAAGCCAGTCCTGCCTCACCTGGGAACACCTCTCTATTTTGTCCTGAATATTCCATCTTAGGCAGCATTCCACCTATTTGCCTCCTGGGAATTCTCCACTGTGGTTATAAGCCCGCATGGACTGCTTTACCCTTGCCAAGAGTGTCACAGACTCTAGACACAGCCAAGTTCAAGGATGGGGCCTCACAGCTGCTGAGGGTGTGGGTCTGGGTATCCATTCAGGCTCCTCCATCACCTAGCTGATAGCAGCCTCACGGGAAAGTAAGCAGGAGCAGCAGGTATATGGCCAAAGCTGGAACCTCCTTTATGCACAAGGTCCAGACCCTGCTAGAATTGCTTTCCAGGTCGGACAGGTCATGCCCTCAATATGAAGACGAGGCGCTCCTTTTTGGTTTTGTTTGTTTGTTGTTTCCTCTTATTTTCTTACCCTCTTTCAGCACTGGAGATGTTCAGCTGAATTCACACTGATCATGTCATTCAAATCTCATCACAGAGCAGAGGATCTCACCCCATCTACAGATGGGAATCTGGGACCTAGAGGCACTGAATGCCCAGCACAAGGCCCCATAGCAGAAAAGAACTGCCAGGCTTGAATCTGGATGGTTTCTACCATGAGAGCCTGGATCCTGCCCACCACACCAGCATGCCTTCACTCTCCACAATGAACCCCTTGATGAAGAGTGACACTGAAACCCAGAGAGGACAGGCAGTTTCCCCAACATCACAGAGCCATTGGGAACTAAGCTGGGCTGCGTTAGAGAAAGAACAACTTGTTGGAGTTTGGAAGAACAGACAGGAATTCAGTACGAAGGGGAGGGGAAGGGAAATTAGGTGGGGAAACGAGAAGCGTGGATAGATACCTGAATGAAGTGAGGGGTCTTTGGAAGAGAACCCAGAGGCCCCAGTAGACCCCCAGAACCATGCAGCCCACCCTGGTGGCCCAGGGGACATGACTCACTTCTTCTGCTTCTTCTCCAGCTCGTGGTTCCGGCTCTGCTGGTTCTCCAGCAGGATGCGGGTATCTTCCAGGTCCCAGGTGAGGTGGTGGCACTTCCTCTTCAGTTGGTGGGCCATCTTCTTGGCCTCCTCATAAGTGGTCTGCAGCTCCCCGAACTGTGGGGAAAAGAGACAACAGCTTGTTGGGAGCACCATTTTGAGAAGCTTTCACTTCAAAGGTGAGTGTCTCCTTAAGAAAACAGACACAGGATGACAGAATACTTTGTTGTAATGACTTCCTCTGCCGGGCTCCAGGAAGCTTCTCCTCTGAGGCCTCTTTGCTGAGAGGTAAACAGGGCACATCCACTTCTTCCTGTTCCATCTCAACTAACCTCCTGCCACATACCCTTTAATTTATTTTTATCTGCCCTGCCTCAAGTAAACGCTCTTTGAGTGGGATATAATCATGTTCCAATCAAATGGGCTCATCTGAGGAGATTTCTGAGAATTAGCTACAGAGTCACCAAAAGGATGTATTCAGCCAATTTGAGCTGTCACCCCCCCGCCCCCAGGTAGGCCTACAGGGGAAAGCACCGAATAGTCCCTGGCCTGGCCTGCAGTCCACTACATGCACAGGCCTTGAAGAAACAGGAGCAGCACCACCAGCATCTTCCTCTGGAAACCCTCTCCCAAGTGTCCTAGTTTAGATCTGGGAGGAATGCGACTCAGCACACTGACTTTGAAGAAATGGCCTCATTAAAGAGCTGCTTTAAATAAGCAAAACTCTGAGTTAATGAGGCCTGTAATTCTAAATTCAGTATTTGAAGGCAAATGGGATGTTTTCTTATAGTCTGTGGCTCAGAGAAGGTTGTGGTTTTATTACTTTTTAATGTAGTGTGACTATCTCCCTTCCTTAGGGAAACTGACCCGACTTTACAGTTTGTTATTACAGACCTGGGCTGCTTCCCAGCATGTGTCCTGTGTATGGACAGCTCAGGATGTGCTGAACCACAGTGCCACATGCACCAATCTTGGAATCAACTGTGAGAAGTGCCAGCACCCTGGGGACCACTGCACCTGCCTCTGTTGTTTACTCAGAGATCACTGCTCGTCCTTCTGCTGGTGATATTTTTCTCTCACATTAAGGCTTCCAACCAATGGCAGCCTCCACACTATGGCTCTTACAGTGAATGAAAGATAGGAAATAAACAGATGGTCACAGCACCACAAGGTGTGGTTCAAATGGGGAGAAGAACCCAGGGATTCACACCTCGGTGTGTGTTAGCAAGGGCCTGCTGGACAGAGTGATATTTCAACTGAGATCTTAAGCGAAGGTGAGGAGAGCCTGGCAGGGAGAAAAAGAATGAACATCTGAGAAGAAGCAACACATGCAAAGGTCCTGGGTGGGAGAGAATGGGCACCCCGAGGAGTGGGCTTGCACTCTGGGGTTCTAGGTGGGCCCCTGCAGACAGAGCCGAGGTTCAGCTTTTCCAAATACACCACCCCGGTATTTTGAGACTGGTTATTTTGTCTTTGTTATTTGAATTTTGAGACAGTGTCTGATGAGCTCAAGCTTGTCTTGAGCTTGCTATGCAGTCAAGCTGGAACTCCTGATCCTTCTGTATCCACCTCCCAAGTGCTGGATTACAGGCCTGAGCCCCGACCCTGGCTCACCATGGTAATTTGAAACTGACCACAGTAAGTGTGTTTACACCATGGGCATCAGCCTCTTGGGGAGTTTGAGCCATTTGCCATCCCCCACTGGTAGAGTGCAGACCTGTTAGGAAACACACCAGTGCCTGGGACAGAAGATAAGCAAGGAGGTCTATGGTCACAGTTGTTACCCCAAAAGCAGACCATAAGATTGTATTACAGATAAATAAGCTCAGGTGATATTGGTGATGTCTAGCCTTGCTCTCAGGAAAGGGCAAGTTGAGAATGTGCTGTAGCCTTGTAATCCCAGCTACACATATGGCTCAGACTGAAGGTTACAAGTTCAAGGCCAGCCTGGACCATTCAGCAAGATGCTGTCTCGAAAACGTGAAAAGATCTGGGAGTATTGCTTCCTGGTAGAGCGCTGGCCTAGAGTGCCCAGGGCCCCTCTTTCAGTTCTCTGTATTGCAAAAGAAGTAGGAAACAGTCAAATGCTTGGGAGCCTATAAGGGGCATTGTCATTCAAACCACCACAGGCTGTGGAAGGTTTTAGCTTCCTAACTTTAGAGGGATACTAAGGCGATGAAAAAGAAGAAAGAAAAAAAGAAAGAAAGGAAGGAAGGAAAGGAGGGAGGGAGGGAGGGAGGGAGGGAGGGAGGAGAGGAGGAGGGCAATAGGGAAGGAGGAAGAGAGGTAGAGAAGGAAGGAGTAAAGGAGGGAGGGAGGGAGAAAAAGGGAGGGGTATGTCAAGAGGGTAGAATGCAGAGGACACAAAGCCAGGCGATAGCAGACACTCGCATCACACAGCCTTGCAATCACCAGATCCAGAAATTTCTGCAAGGAGAGACTTTTGGGAAGATTCAGGCAGACCCAGGTAGACAGGAGATGGGCCTTGTGTTAGAAAGCAGACCAATTGTCAGAACCCTCAAAGAGAGGCACAGCAGTGAGGAGAGGTAGGACACTCCCTCCACTAGCCTGGCCTGTGGTCAGAAAGCAGGCTTCCACCCTGGCTGTGGGTGAGGAAGGAAGGAGTCACTTAAGAAATCAAACCCCAGGCCTCTGCCTCGGGGTTTAGAGAGAAAAATTTCCACAGATTAGATAAACATCCGAGGTGAGGACACAGCACAGACCCGAGATGCCTGAGGAAGGAAGTTCAAAGGCATTTCTTCCGGGGACCCCTCTGTGCCCCATTCTCAAGGGACTCCCAGCAAAACTAATAAAAAGTTACAAGAATCAACTCAATAAAAATGCGCTCTTGCCATGAGAGAAGAGACAGAAAGTACGTTGGACAGTGCAGGACCTGGAGAAGGAATAGAGGGTCCCCCTGAGGCTGAGCTCACAGTCAAAGTTAGAGCACACAGGACTGTATCCATCTGACATCTGCGTGATAGACAAAGCTAGACCAATCCAGAAGTGACAGAGAGCACCCTGGCCTACACTACAGCTGGTGGCTGAGGAGACAGGCTGGAGGCAGGGAGACCTCCAAGTGGCCCTGGTCTAGAGGAGGCAGAGGGAATGGAGAAGTTGGGGCAAACCCAAGTGTGTGCTACAGTAGTTTTATAGATGAGACCCTAAGGCCCAAATGCTAGTGTGGTTTCCACAGGGGCCAAGAAGACGTGAAACTGGACCTCAGCTAAGCATCTGGGGTCACTTGTGTGATCCATCTGCCATGGAGTGCTTTCCTCAGAAGACCCTCTCACACGGTCTCAGACCCTCTCAGAAGACATCCCACAGGGAGCAGCATTTGTTCAGACAGCAGAGGTGAGCTGGAAGGTCCCTCTCCCCCTACAGGACCACTGGCCTTCAGCAGTGGAGATGAGAAGGCACCACCTCCAGGGCCTCTGGGGTCCCCACTCTCCGTCCTCCCTTATCTTCCAGGGCCCCACCTCTCTGTCCTCTCTTACCATCTGCTCCAGCTCTGCCCGGGCCTTCAGCTCTGAGTCCAGTCTCTCTTCACACTGCTGGAGACGTTTCCTCAGGAACTCATTCTCCATCTGAGCGCAGTCCAAGTGCATCTGCCATTCATCTGCTGTTGAACAGAATCAGAGGCTGGGTGGGAAGCCACGTGAGTGGGGCGACACTGAGTGCAAGCCTCTCCTCACTCCTTGGCCCTTTGCAACTTCCTAATATCCACAGATCCCATGAACCTCTTGGACTTCAGGGTAAGGAACTATGCTAAAGGCCAAGAAGAACCAAAAGAAGCCCAGAGTTTCCTCTGGGTGGCCTGTCCAGACCACCGCAGCTGTCTAAGTTTGGACCTCTCCCTGCTCTAAGGTTGGTTCTCTTTCCCTGTTCAACTGTTTCCACAGGATATTATGTTTCTTTCCCAAAGAAACCCAGTAATCTGTAAGGCAGGGGCTCCTTTAGTGATCTGTGCGCCGTCAATATCATCTGGAACTGTTTTATGTACATAGAAGGTATAAGCTCTCCAGTTGCCAACAGACCCAGCAAAATCATGAGACAAAGAGAGTAGAGCTCATCCCCAGTATATGTAAACTGTGTTATCATTGGCTGCATGTAGAGTAAACAGATACATGAGTGGGTAGCGGCCTAAGTCCACTAAATGCTAAGCAATAGAAACTTGTTCAGAAGATACCTCTAGGACCTAATATGGATACTAAAGCTCTTGATTTGGTTTAAAAAATCATATATTGGTTTAATTAAAACTGTTGGGTCAAATTAGATTGTGGTGTCGTCTTTCAATCATTTGAACAACAGACTAATGTTCCTTAAGTTAAAGAAGATCTACATCCAATATTACTTAATTTATTCAAAAAGATAGAAATGGGGGCTGGAGAGATGGCTCAGCAGTTAGGAACACTGGTT